AGGCCGACCATGAGGACACCAACGAATTCGCCACCCAGCGTGAGAACTGGACGCTACTAATAGGAGCGGCCACTCCACGCCCCCCCACCTGGTTGTGACCACCATTCTGAATGGTATAGAGCGTGGGCTCCTGCACCCCTGGGGGGAGAGGAAGTGGACAGCAGCTGGCACCGTGGACAGCAGGGACCAGGAGTGTTGTGGGCACCACTGTGTCCGCTTGTTTAGTCCTCGCCGTCGCCGGTGACAGGTAGTATTTTTATGCCCCCATTTCACAGATGAGGAGACCGAGGCACAGAGAGACTGAATTACTTGCCCACGGTCACCCAGGAGGTCAGACTCCAGAGTAGGTGCCCTTCACCAGCAAGCACCCCTTCCGCTTTGGGGACCACCTACCCTTTCAGAGAAAAATGTGGGCACCGGGTCAGCCATGAACTGTGGCACCAGGAACACAACAATGGAGACTCGGGGCCTGGCCAGATCCTGCCACACCGAGAGCGCATGGCCCGGCTGGGAGAAATCTGTGCCGGAGCCAGAGTCCTGTGGCCAGCAGGGCCAGGGCTCTGGGCGAGGATGGAGTGCAGCCTGTTTTTTTTATTGTAAAAGATCTCCTTTGATGTTCAGGATAACTTGCTAAATGTTATAAAGTAGGCTGAGGAAGGGTGTATATAAGACAAGCTTATTTAAAAAAATGAAATAGAGGGGGAAGGGAATCTGTGTAACCCGGTGTTACAAGCTTGGGCTTCTGTGCCGATACTGGATTTGCATCTGGACTCCCTCTGTTGGGCTGTGTGACCTTGGGCAACTTGCCTCCCCTCTCTGTGCTGGATTGTGATTGTCTCTTCATGCCCTTCCTCTGGTCAGGGAGACAGTCCACCTCCCTTGATGGAGTGGGGAATGCTGGACATGTAGGGTTGGGCACAGGGTACAGGCAGGGGTGCCAGCTGGAGGCAGGCCTGGGGACGAGGGTGGTGATAAGGCCGCATCTGGGCCACAGAGACAGCAGCGGGGGCTCTCTGGCCACCGGGCAGGGTGCTGGGTGTTGCTGTGGCTTCCCAGGGCCTTCCCGTGCCCCCAGCTTCCCTGATGTGTGTGGACACCCTGAGATCCTGCAAGTGATGGCCTTTCTGCCTGAGTCACCTGGAGTGGCCTTGGGTGCGGTGCCTCAGCTCTGGCCGGACACGCGAGCCCCAGGGTTCTCTGCAGGACAGCGGCCATGTGAACGGAGCCTGCTCTCAGCTCAGGCCAGCATCCCCGGAAAGAAGTTAGTCCTCAGCACAAAGCCTCGCAGGGGCGCAGCACGTGCGGGGAGATGGTCTGCGTGCGGTGTGCTTTATGGGGAAGTACTAGAGACATAATTCAGAAATAGTAACAGTTATTAGCTCTGGGTGGAGGATTGTGGGTGATTTTCATTTAAAAATGATCATCTCGCCTCTGTATCTCTAACTTCCCTACGGCCGTGATTTGTGTTTTAAAAAGGGAAAAATTAGCAAGTGAAGCTTTTCTTCCCAGGGGCCTTTTCCCTTAACTCCTCTGGCCTGAGTTGTGCTGCGAGTCCCAGGGGCATGGGGGTGGGGGGAAGGGAGAGGGGGCGGTAGCTTCGGGCTGGGACCGGCAGGGGTGCAGGCATGGGGTGGGCCCCCCTGCATCCCTGCCTGCTCCGACCTGGCTGACCTCTGCTGGGTGATGCCAACAACAGCTCCCTGGGCGCCCGTAAACCGCCTCTCAACTGGATGGCCATGGCAGGAGGCAGGAGCTGCAGACGCAGCAGTCTGCTTACTGGGGGGTGGGGTAGGGCGAGGCTGCCCTGGAGGAGCCGGGAGAAGGCATTTCCCCTGACAGCACAGCCATTCCAATGAAGCCGGGCTCTCCAGGGCCCTCTCTGCAGCAGGGAAGGGAGGGGCAGGAGCAGTTGGGTCCAGCCCTGGGGGGTGCCCCTGTAGGGAGGGAGCACTGGTCTGGATTAGACTCCGGGCTCTGGAGTCCGGCTGTCCTGAATCAACTCCTGCCCCTGCTTCTTAGCAAGAGGGACTTCAGGGGAGTTCAGTCCCCTCTCCCAGCCTCCACTTCACCTTCTGTGAAATGGGTATGATACTCCGTGTGCCTAGCTCAGTGGTTCTCAACCTGGGGCAAGTTTGCTCCCAGTTTGCAACTCCTTTTGGTTATCAAATGGGGAGGAGGAACTGCTGGCAGCCAATGGCTCGAGGCCAGGGATGCTGCAAACATCCTAGAGCCACATGCGGCTTTTTGGCCCCTTGAGTGTGGCTCTTACACAAAATACCACATGTGGGCGCACGTACAGTGCGATTGAAACTTCGTGGCCCGTGCGCAGATGTCGGTTTTCGCCTGGGGGAGTCTGTTTGGAAGAAGTGCTGTTGATATTTGGCTCTGCTGACTAATGAGTTTGCCGACCACTGGCCTAGAGGCACCGGACGGGCCCCTCCCCGTGTGCAGCCCCGCCCATGTCAGTGGCTCAGTGGCGCCAGGCTGAGAACGCTGTCCTGGCGCAGGTGAAGGCTAATGCGCAGCCGGCAGTAGCTGTTCTCCACGCTGAGAAACGGGAGCCTCCGCCGCCTCAGAACCAGAGGCAAAGCAGCTCGGGGACAAGGGCACAGCGTCCACGAGGCCGGGCCGTGACCTTGGTTTTCCTCCTCTCAGCTCTGGAAGATGTCTGTTTTCCCAATGGCCCGGGCACTCCTCCCGCCTGAGGCCAGGGCTGAGCCATCTGGGGACGGGCTGCCTGGTCGGAGGGAGGCTGACAGCGCTGGCCTGGCTGGGAGCGGTGGGCGGACACAGACCCCGCGGGAGACTCCTGAACACCCAGAGTGACACAAAGGGGTGTGTGTGTGGGGGGGGAGGGTGCAGTAGAAGCTGTTGGTTTCGGCCCAGAGAGCCCCCGCCCCACTGCTGTGCTGGGTGTTAACAGCTCACACACCTTCTCTCCCAGGGGTGTACCCTGTACCCCCCACACCAACAGGAGGCCGAGCGCTGGCTGACAGGAGGCTGCCCGCTTGCCTCAGCCTGTGACCTCTGCTCCAGAGCCCAGTGGAGGGCCATCCACAAGCCCAGTCCCTCTGTTCTGCTTCTATCGAGGGAACCAGACCCAGGACTACGGTGTGGGGTGTGGGGTGAATTATTGTGATTTCTTTGCATTTTAAAAAATCATGTATTTCCTGATTGGTTTTAGAGAGGAAGGGGGGGAGAGAGAGAGCGTAACATCGATTTGTTATTCCACTTATGCATTTATTGGTGGGTTCTTATTTTAAATATATGTTTTTATTGATTTTTTAATGTATTTTTAATTGATTTCAGAGAGGAAGAGGGAGAGAAAGAGAAACATCAATGATGAGAGAGAATCACTGATTGACTGCCGCCTACACTCCCCCTACTGGGGTTGGAGCCGGTAACCCGGGCATGTGCCCTTGACTGGAATCGAACCCGGGACCCTTCAGTCCGCAGGCTGACACTCTATCCACTGAGCCAAACCGGCCAGGGCCATTGGTGGATTCTTGTATGTGCCCTGACGGGATGGAACCCGCCATCTTGGTGTGAGGGGACGAGGCTCCAACCAGCTGAGCCTGCCCCGCCAGACCTTCCTTTGTATTGAAAGCCAGAACTGTGGCCGTGCCACGCTATGCACAGGGAGCCCAGGCGTGTTTCATTTCAGCCGGGCTGCCTGGGCTCAGTCAGCAGGAAGGAGGGGAAGCCACAGGGTCCTGACAGGAGGTGCTTCCTTTCGGGGCTGGGCCTGACCCCTGCAAGCTGGTGCTGGGGAGGGCATTTGGCCTGGAGATGCGCTGGCCATTTCTCCTTCACTGAGCTGTAAGCTCGCCCCTCAAGGCCAGGTTGTTTAAACTCGGTCTTCACGTGGCCTTGGGGGCTGAGGAAGCAGCCCTGCCAGCTGCCACGGGCACCAGCAGGTGAGGCAGGGGCTGTAGGAGCACCGAGGAGCCTGACCCTGATTGGCAGCCCTGGGGGACCCCAGGCTGAGAGAGAGTACGTAGGTGGGGAGGGAAATCTGGGTGCAGCCCCCAAGCACTGGAAACACACAGGGCGCCCTCCCTAGCCAGGGGCCTCCGCTGATGGGCCTCGTCCTTCAGAGCTTCCTCTCCCACCTCCTGCACTGCCCCCCGTCCCCTTGGCCATCCCTCCTGTGCCCACCCGAGATTCTGTGTGTACCTGGGACACTCTGGCCCACAGTGGGCTCTGGGAGGAGGCAGCAGCTGCAGACACGGGGCCTGAGGCTGACGCCTGACCTGGAGCCTGGGAGTCCCGCTCTGTTAGGACGCCGGCCGGCACTTCCCTGGGACTTCTCAGCAGACCACCACCAGCATGTGCGGGGACGCTGCGGGCAGCTGAGCGAAGTGCAATAAGCTGGCTTTGTCGTGCTTTTAGTGGAAGGGGGATGGCAACCTCCCAAGTTTGGGGAACATGTGGGTCACAGTCAGGGCCGGGCCTGGCCCAGCGGTGAGAGCTCTGCTGGCCACGCCCGCGGAGGGCAGCTGCCGGTCTCCTTCACAGAAGGTCCTGGGGGATGTGCCCTGGAAGTGGGGGAGTTTCTTTGAGGCTATTTTGTGAGGTCCCCTTTAAATCCCAGATGAACACAGAAAAAAAACCCAAAAACGGGTCCTGGAGGCAGCAGTACGGAGATCCTTTATTCTGTCTAATTGTACACCAACTAGAGGCCCAGTGCATGGATTTGTGCACTGGTGGGGTCCCTCGGACTGGCCTGCGGGGATCGGGCTGAAACCGGCTCTCCAACATCCCCTGAGGGGTCCCGGAATCTGAGAGGGCGCAGGCCAGGCCAAGGGACACCACTAGCACATGATCGGGCTGGGGAGGGCTGGGGAGGGACCGCAGGAGGGCTCCAGGGTGTGTCTGGCCTGTCACGCCCAGTCCCACGCAGCCAGACCCCAGCAGCAAGCTAGCCTACCAGTTGGAGCACCTGCCCCCTGGTGGTCAGTGTGTGTCATAGCGACCGGTTGAACGAAGGGTCAGACACGTAGCATATTAGGCTTTTATTATATAGGATGACCACCCCGTGGTGACCAGCGTCGCTCCTGTCCCTTCTCATAGGGGACGGTTATTACAAACAAAAATAGTTCTCTACAAAACAAAGTTTCCAGCCCTCCTCCTACCTCCCACCGCAGGTGGTGTGTTCCTCCGCCACCAGGCCTCTCCCGAGCCTGGGGTCTGGGGGTTGCAAAGGAAAACCAAGAAAGAATATAAAAGAGAATCAAGTCAGCGACTGAAATTGTAGGCAACTGGAGTTCAGGGTCCGAGGCTGGTGGCCAGCCAGGGACAGGTGCAGGGGTGTCTGCAACAGTCGAGAGTGTGTGTGTTTACCTGGGGGTGCTGGGTGAGCAGCACTTCTCCCCGCCCCCTGTCTCACCGCCAGCAAAAAAAAATTTAAAAAGGAAAGGGGCGGCCGGAAATAGAAAAACTAAGACCAAAATCGGAGGCCACTGGGGCCAGTGTCCCACAGCGCCCCCTGCTGCAGCGCCGGGGCGGGGGCAGGTGCCACGGAGGCGGCCAGGAGGTGGGCGGAGGACTCTGCTGAGTAGCACCTGGGAGCAGCTGGGGCCGCACCCTTCTCGCCGCCCGCCCCGGCCCCGGCCCCGCCCCGGGCGCAGGGTGCACTGCCGGCGGCCCCCTCGCCGCCGCGGTCCTCGGGGCTCAGCAGCCCAGGTGGGCGGCCAGCCCCAGCAGCAGGCAGCCGAGCAGGGTGGCGGGGCGCGGCGCTGCCCCGGGCGCGCGGTCGCAGTCCAGGCCGCCGTCGTCGTCGGCGGGGTCGCAGCGGGGCTGCTCGCAGCGGAGGCCGGTGTAGCCGCGCGGGCAGGCGCAGCGCTGGTTCTGCAGGCAGGTGCCGCCGTTCTGGCAGAACAGCTGGTCGTCGTCGCACACGTTGGCTGCGGGGCGGAGGGGCCGTTAACGCGGGTGGCGGCTCATTCCCCCCGCCCCGCCGAGCACGCCCACGTGGGAGCTTCTGCGACTGGGATGTGCCAACCCCCGGGGCGCGGCCTGAACCGGGGCTGATGGAGGCTCAGGGCGCAGTTGGTGCGAGACGGCCCTGCGTGGACGGTAACCACGCCCGGGAGCCCGGGACCCTGCCTCCCTCCGCCTCTGCTCCTGGCTCTCCTGCTCCCGGCACCGGCCTGGGTGCTGTTTCAGGCGCCTGCACCGCCCTCCCGCCCCTTTACCTCGACTAACGGCGGGTCTCCGCCAGGCCGGCTCCCGGGCAGCCTCGCTCCCTCCCGCCTCCGGCCAGTCCTCCCGCCCCAGCTCTCGTTCGCCTCCAACTCGCTTCCCAAGCAGCCAGCTCCACCTCCGCTCCGATCCCCACCGGACACCGACCCCATCCGTCACTAAGGCCCGCCCGCCTGGCCCCGCCCACCGCCCCCGACCCTGTCAACAGCAGGCCACCGCCCGGAACCCTGCCAACCCCGCCGCAGGGCCCAGGCCCCGCCCCGTGCCTGCTGCCCCGCCCACCGCCCCCGACCCTGTCAACAGCAGGCCACCGCCCGGAACCCTGCCAACCCCGCCGCAGGGCCCAGGCCCCGCCCCGTGCCTGCTGCCCCGCCCACCGCCCCCGACCCTGTCAACAGCAGGCCACCGCCCGGAACCCTGCCAACCCCGCCCCCAGGGCCCAGGCCCCGCCCCGTGCCTGCTGTCCCGCCCACTCCGCCAGGCCCCGCCCCGCCAGGCCCCGCCCCCGGCCCGGCACTCACGGTAGCAGCCCTGGCGCCAGTAGTGCGTGGGGAGGCAGTCGTCGCACTTGGGCCCGGCCGCGCCCTCGCGACACTCGCAGAAGCCGGTCTCGTTGCACCGGTCGTGCACGGAGCCGATTTGGTTGCAGTTACACTCTGGACGGACAGGTGCATCGCGTGCGGTCAGGGCGACTTGTGGGCACCGACCCCACCCCGCCCGGCCCCTCATTCCTCCCACGGGGCTCCCGCTGCGGGTGGTGCTCCCCACGCAGTGAGCCCGCGGCTGGACGGCGGTGGGAGCTGACGGGTGTCGTGTCCAAATCCCGAGACTGACCTCGCTCCCTGGCACCCGCCCCCCTCCTCCTCCCTTCCCGGCCCTGGAGCTGTGGGGCCTGGGACAGACCCTTCCCCGCCTGGGCCTCAGTCTCCGCACCTGGGACTGGAGCGGGAGCTGGTCCCTCCTGGCTCCAAAGAGCAGTGACTCTGAGGCCGGAGGAGCCTCCTCAGTGGCCGTGGGCTCCGTCCCTGGGGGGCTGTCGTAGGTGTGTGTGTGTGGGGGGTGCGGCCCTCACCTATAGCCCCTTGCGGGTGGAGGACAGCCCCCGAGGCCTCCCGCCTCCCCCTGCTCTTCCCCAGCTGGTTTCCTGGGGCCTCTGCTCCGTGGGAGGGGCGCGTGGCCCCACTCTGGGACTCCCTGAAGCCCGGGGCTGGGCCAGGGGGTTCAGGCAGACAGGTGCTGGGGGAGGGGGTTCAGGCAGACAGGTGCTGGGGGAGGGGTTCAGGCAGACAGGTGCTGGGGGAGGGGTGCTGGGGGAGGGGTTCAGGCAGACAGGTGCTGGGGGAGGGATGCTGGGAGAGCAGGACCCTCTAATCGGATCCAGAGGCCTGGCCCGGCCCTGCATCTGGTTGGCGTGACAGCAGCTCAGTTGTGGGTCCCTTAGAGCTGATGGAATTAGCTGAAGGCCTGGGCTGTAACTCAGCCTGACTCCAGCTCTCGGGCAGCCCCCCTGCTCCCAGCCGCGCTGGCCTGGGGGATGGGCAGTGGGGCTGAGACCTGGCCTCCCCTGTGAGCCTCCCCTGTGAGCCGTGCTGGTGGGGGTGTTGGTTGGGGGCCATGGCTTTGGCCTTTTGTCCCTGCCCAGCCTCAGGGTCCCCAAAACCAGTGCTGGAGTGGAGTTTGAAGGAAGCAGCTCGGGGCCCGAAGCTGGGATCTGCCTGTAAAGCTTTTGAAGAATTTCGTTGGATAATTTTGTGGCTTCAGCCACAGAAAAAGGGTTGAAACCTTTGATCTTATCCACCTCCTGACTTTACAGAGACTGAGGCCCAGAGGGGGGAAGGGAATTGCCCAAATGCACACAGCAAGGCAAGCGCGAGAACCAGTTTACAGCCCCAGCTATGGGCTCCGAAACCCCAGTGCCCAGGAGAACCCAATGGAGGTGATTAACAGCGGATTCTGGAAACGTCACTAGGCACCAGCTGCGGAGGGTTAGGCCTGAGCCGAAAAGGTTTGGGGCCATTTCTTGGTGCCGCTCCTAGGGGACTCGGTCTTTAAAGAGGCAGCTGTAGCGGGCCCTGGAGTGGGAGTTTCCACAGCCCCCAGGGGGCTCCATGCACTGCGGGGCCTTCCGTGCGCCCTGCACCTGGCCCAGCACCGGGACAAGGCACATGGTCCAGCACATCCTGTGCTGGGCCCTCCCAGGTTAGGGTTGGGGTTGTTAGGGTTAGTGTTAGGGTTAGGGATTGGGTTAGGGATGGAGTTAGGGTTAGGGTTAGTGTTAGGGATAGGGTTGTTAATGTTAGGGTTAGGGATAGGGATAGTGTTAGGGTTAGGGATGGGGATGGGGTTAGGGTTAGTTTTAGTGTTGTTAGGGTTAGGTTTAGTGTTAGGGTTAGTTAGGGATAGGGTTAGAGATGGGGATGGGGTTAGGGTTAGTTTTAGTGTTGTTAGGGTTAGGTTTAGTGTTAGGGTTAGTTAGAGATAGGGTTAGGGATGGGGATGGGGTTAGGGTTAGTTTTAGTGTTGTTAGGGATAGGGTTAGGGATGGGGATGGGGTTAGGGTTAGTGTTAGGGTTAGTTAGGAATAGGGTTAGAGATGGGGATGGGGTTAGGGTTAGTTTTAGTGTTGTTAGGGATAGGGTTAGGGATGGGGATGGGGTTAGGGTTAGTTTTAGTGTTGTTAGGAATAGGGTTAGAGATGGGGATGGGGTTAGGGTTAGGGATAGTGATAGGGTTAGGTTAGTGTTAAGGACTGGGTCAGGGTTAGTGTTAGTGTTAGTGTCAGGGTTAGGGTTAGGGTTACACCCCCCCCACCCCCCCCCCCCCCCCCCCCCCCCGCTCACCGATGCACACGTTCTCGTCGTCCAGCTCGGCGGAGCCGTTGCGGTAGAAGCCCAGGCGGCAGTGCTGGCAGTGCTGGCCCCGCGTGTTGTGTTTGCAGCTGACGCAGGTGACCACGTTGAGGAAGTCGATGTAGCTGCAGCGGTTGGAGTGGCCGTAGCACTCGCAGTCTGGGCCGGCCGAGTGGGGGGAGCAGCAGGGTCAGTGAGGGAAGGGAGGCCGCTCCTGCCGGCTGCCCCGACCCGTGCCTCCAGGGGAACTGCGGCCCAGGGAGAGGGGGACCTGCGCCTCAGCACCTCTGGCCTTTCGGGGAGAGATGGGCCGGCCAGCGTTGAGCTCGGAGGAGAGCCAGGGTGGGCTCAGCCACAAACTGCCACCTGGCCCTGTGGCCGGGACCCAGGGAGGGCCGGTGGGCAGCACCTGCTGGGGGCCCGGCGAGGTGCTCTTCGTGGGGATGCCCAGGAGATGCCAGGGTGGTTAGCAATGCTTCATGCAGGGAGGGTGGTCATGCCAGTGTGAGCTCAGGGAGGGCAGTGCTGGGCCCACGGGGTCCCCGCCGTGTCCCCAGCGACTCAGGAGGCCTAGGTGCCCGCAGGGACGCTGGGCAGCCGGAGCTTCCTCCCGTGCTGCTTTGGAAGATGGACGGCTGACCACCACCTGCAGGGCCCTTCCGGTTGCCTGGGCTGCTCTGCAGACCTGAGTGGCACAGAGGGCCTGCTCGCTTTGATGCCCCTAGACTCGGCCCAGCCTCCGACTCTGACTGGGGGACAGCCATCTCGGCGCCACCCGCTGTGTCCTCCAGCCCTGCACCTGCTGCAGGGACTGAGCGAGCCCTGTGACTGCCCGGGGCCAGGCCCCAGGGATTGCAGGTGGATTCCACGACCTCATGAAGGGGCCACCTTCCCTGACTCAAGAAGGGGGGTCATTTCTTGGTGTCCTAAGGGACTCGGCACCCCTATGAATAAGAAAGCCAGCGTGGCTACCCTCTCTCCTGTGATGGGAGAGGGAGGCTGACCAGGGGTCAGGGTCAAGGGCATGGGAGACCTTGGAGAAATGGGCCCCTGAGACGTGCCCAGGACCTGCCCCCTTCACATTGTTTCTCCAGGGACCAGAAGGCAAGGTACCCTCCCAGCGTCCCCGAGGAGCAGCGGAGGTCAGAGGAGCAGCATCAGTGACCTCTGTGTCCCAGATCTTGCTTCAACCAAGACGGCCCCTGGGCCATCTCCCAGGGGAGCCGGACCGGCTATTTCTGGCGGCTGCTCTGCCTGCCGTGCTGCCCACTGAGCCTCTGACTCATGCTGCTCCGGCTCCCCTGGGAGAGGGCTGGAGGGAAGAGAGCTCCGGTCACCTTGGCCCAGCTGCTCTGGGCGGGGCTCTGAGCCTGGGGCGGGCCCTCCAGCCTGCCCCGTGGTTTCCCAGTGGAGGGGGCGGGTAAGGTGTGAGGAGGGCTGACCCAGCCCTGGGCCTCCCCCTTACCTTGGAATTCTCCCATAGGTGCCACCTGAGGAGATTTGGGCCTGAGCTGGGAAGGCTTGGAGGCCTGGGCAGGGGCGGGGGCGGGGGCGGGGGCGGGGGCAGCTTGGGGAGATGAGAAGCAAGCCCTTCCATCGGCCCGGCCCCTGCCCGGCGGGCTGTCGGGGCCAGCAAAGGCTCCCAGGAGCCCTGCCAGCTCTGGGCAGCCCTGGCACCTGCTCAGGCATGAGGGGACCGGGCTCACAGGGGCACACGGAGCCAGCCTGCCTCGGTCCCCCTCAGAGACCAGCTGCCACCCAGCCGGACTCACCCTCCCCTCACTTCTCTCCTCCTGCCACCCACAGCGTGGGCCCCAGCTGAGCTGGACCAGGGGACAGGCTGAAACATCCCTCCTGCCGCCCAGCCCTCCACTCCCGTGAGCATCACGTCCAGCCTGAGCCTGGCATCCAGCCCTTGGTGCCTCCCTTCCTTCCTGAAGCAGCCTCCCTGCTCCACCAAGCGAGTCCTTCACCACCTGCCGTCCCCCACGATTCCCGGGAGCACGGACTGTCCAGACGCACCCCACCCCACCCTACGGGGAGCATCGCCTCTCGGCTTCCCCCTGGGGGTTCTTGGCGCCCAGCCAGTCCAGGGCAGCCCAGCCCAGCCCAGCCCAGCCCAGCCCAGTCCAGTCCAGTCCAGCCCAGCCAAGCCCAGTCCAGTCCAGTCCAGTCCAGCCCAGTCCAGCTGGCTCTAACTGCCTTCATCACCTGGGAGGATGCGGGGCTCAGGGCCTCCAGGTTGCTGGGAACTGAGGACCCGCCCTCGCTGGTTGTGGTTCCAGGCCCTGCCAGCAGAGGGCGCGCAAAGCCCTGCTTACTGCCCAGCTGCAGGTTTGCTGCCTAATGTGGAGGGGAGAGGCGAGCTGGGATGGGCATGGCTCCTGTGTGTGTCACTCTATGGCCACAAGCCCATGCGTGTCTCCTGCCCCTGTAGCTAGACAATGAGGCTCTCGGCCTGGTATCAGGCCCCCCCCCCGCCCTCCCTTAACCAACACTCTGCCCCTGGGTCAGGTGGGCCACTCATGCCTCCCACTGCCGAGCCTTTGCCCGCTGGTCCGGCCGCCTGGACCGCGCTTCCGCTGTTATATATTCCCAGTCACCCACCCCCTCCCCTCCGGGCCTGAGCTCCGTCACCGCCCGAGAGGGTTCTCCACTCAGCTCAGAAGCCCTTGGGGGGGGGGGGGATTTAAGGGGGTGGGTTGGTAGGTGAGGTGGGGGATGAGTAGAACCCCAAGGCCCCTCACCTCAGCTCCCTGGGGCCCCTCCCACCCAGGTCCCTCCCCACCATGTATACCTGCTGCCTCCACTAAGGGGGAGGGGCCTATGGGCGTAAGAGGAAATCCCCCCATACCTTCTGCACCGGAGGGCACCTGGGGCCAGGGGGGGCTCACCCCTGGGGGGGCTGCTGTCGGTGGCCTGTTCCACTCTTGGGGAAAAGAGGAGAAAGGAAGTCATGCAAGGGGCTGGGGCGTCCTGGGGACACGCTGAGGCGTCGCACTCCACAGGCCCTGGTCAGGAGCAGCACTATCAGCGGCTCTGCCTACACCGGCCACAGAGAACTGGGCCCAAAACTACGGGAGAGGCAGCGTCTAGGGTACAGCAGCTCAGCGGGCCGCGGACTGGAAGCCGCGTGGGAGGGCCTCCTGCCTGAGTCTGCATGCTCTGGGGAGTCCTTTCTCAGCGGGTCCCCTGGTTTGGGGACTCCTCTACCCTCCCTGTGTGGTCCCGTTCCCACTGACGGGCAGAGTCGGATGGAGTCCGTATCTGGGCGCAGAGCTCTCTGTGCCAAGTCTCAGGCTAATGACTATACGGGGCGGCATCAGCCGTGCCCAGCAGGTCTGACCCCAGCAGGACGCGTCCTCCAATGTCGGGCCTGCCTCCCGGCCACCACCTCTCCCTCCACCCCCTGGTCCGGGCCCATGTCCACCAGGGACCCCGATGTCAGTGAACCCCCAAATGCCACAGCACTGCCTCCAAGACCATCGGGCCGCAGCCGGGGAAGCAGGACGGGCGGATCGGGGCATCGCTCTGCGCTGAGTCTCTCAGGACAGGCCCCGAAGGACCGGGAGAAATCGGATTCTTTCTGCTTCTAAAGGGATTTCTCGGATGCTGGTCGGTGGGGAGAGAAGTAAATCTAGTGGCTAAGAAGTGCGGAGCCTTTCCCGCCCGGAGCCTTCAGATGCCAAATTGACATCACTGGGCGCTCAGGGAGGGCGGGCCGGGCCCACCGGCTTAATTAGAGCCGCACCAGCGCCTGCCCAGGCTCCAGGCTCTTCCCACACCCTCCTGGGTCCGCCGGGAGGAGGGAGAAGCCTCTGGGCCAGCGGTCACGGGCCCAGCTGGACTCTGGCCAAAGAGCCTGAGCACCGTGGGGAGGCACGGGAGACTCCGGACCTTTCTCGGACGGGGTCTGGGGACGGGAGAGGCCTCGCTGGGCTCTCGGGGGACAGGCTCAGGTGTGTGAGGAACGGCCTTGCAGGGGCCTGTGCCCGGTGCCAAGAGCAGATGGAGGCCCGTCTGTTCCTGCGGAATCGGGGAGCTGTGCAAGCCAGGGCCTAGGACGCACTACCTCAGCCCCAGGCTGCAGGGCCATGGCTGGGCAGCTCAGTGGGCAGGGAGTGCCCGTCAGTGAGCCCCGAGTGCGAGTCCTGCCCAGTGCCTGGCCGTTCGTGAGCAGCTGCTCCTTCATTTGCCCGGTTTCTTTCCAAACCGCTTTCCTGAGGTGCAGGGACCACGACACCAGCTGCCTCTTCCTGAGCCGGGACCCTCGCCAGTGGGATGAGGGAGACAGTGGCCTGCTCAGAGCTGTGGGCCGGGACCCAGGCTCCGCCCACTACCCCGGCTGTCAATCTTAGCGGGGCTCCAGGCACAGGGGGGGGGGGGGGGCGGGGTCCCAGGCAGGGGCTTCCGTTGCTAAAGAGGCATGAAGACCCCAAAAGGTGGGCACCTCAGGTCACTGGCTGTCACCCTGGAGCAGCCTCCTCCCCTAACGCCCTCCTGCTGGGCGCTGGGCTCAGGACACAAAGCTCCATGTCTCCCTGGACAGTCAGCGGGTGGGGGGCCTCCCAGGACAGTCAGCAGGTAGGGGGGGCTCCTTCTTGGGGCTCAAGCCTGACCTGACTCGCTCGCTGCCAGGCCTCGGACCCTCTCCTAATTCCCAGCTTTGCACTGTGCCCTGCGCCCCTTACACCCAGTCAGCAGCAGCTCAGCCAGTGGAGTCAAGGTTCCTCGTGTGTGTGGGTGCACGTGTGTGTGTGGGTGCACGCGACCGCCTCCCACCCACACAGACCACCGTGTACAGGCAGACACAGCACCACCTTGATGGCTTTTGTGCCCAGTGGATGGGGGGGCAGGAGTGATTGGGCCGCCCTGATGGCACAGGGGTCCCAGGGGCTTGGGGTCAGGGTCTTCCTGGGACCTGTCGATGCGGCTGAGAGAGAAGCGAGTGAGGGTGGGAGCTGGTGGGTGGGGGCAATGCAGAGAAGCAACATGGAACCCCATGAGTGGACCTGGGCCCCCCCCAGGCCCAGCCTCCTCTGGCGCTCTCAGCCCCTGGGGTCCAGCAGGGTGCCCCCCGGGTCGGGTGTGGCCCCAAAGACCCTGGTGGAGGGAGGCGGCGCCTCCAGAAGCATGGCTCAGGTTTGGGATCTCCCACCACTGGCTCTGAGCAGCTGGCACACCCGCCAGGGGCAAGGCCGCCCCAGGGCTGACTACTCTGTGGCCTGAGCTGAGCTGGCGCCTTAGGACCTGGCCTCCCCCCCTCCCCCGCAACCCCCGCCCCCAGCCTCTCCAGAACAATAGCTGCAGATGCCCAGAGGGAGGCCGGCCCATGGTCAGGCTGGGGGTTCTGCTGCTGGTGGGGAAGGTGAGGCCCCTCTTGCCTGGCCTGAGAGGGAGGGGCCACGACTCGAGGGGTCACGGGGCGCTTCCAAAGCAGCACTAAGGAGAAGCCGGTGGGAGAAGCGGTGGGGGCTGCAGCCCCAAGGAAGGGGCGGAGGGAGCGGGGAGAGGTGAGGGTGATGCACAGGGCACAATTGGGGGGGGCGCCCCAGGGCCCAGGGGGGCAGGAGACCCCCTGCTTTCCTCTCCTGCTCTTCCCAGCACATGCAAGTGGTGGGCATCGCAGGCCCGCCCGGCCCCAGGGGGCCCAGGTGTGTACTCACTGCCAACAGCGGAGCCCGCAGCGGCACCTGTGGAGAGAAGGGTCTCAGCCTGCGGCCATGGCTGGGCAGCGCCTCAGCCTGCGGCCCGGAGCCCTGGGGGTTCTTCTGGACGGAGAATGGGCACGAGAGGGGAAGGGGACGCCGCCAGGGCAGGCGATGCCCGCGAGGCTGCCAGTCAGAGGAAGTGGCAGGGACTAGAGAAGGTCCTGGCAGCAAGGAAGTGGGCTGGGCTCCTGGGAGGAGGGGGAGGGGCCGGCCGTCATCTCTGAAGGCTGCTGTGCCGTAAGTCAGCCTTCAAAGGTGTGTGTGCGCACGTGTGTGCGCGCGTGTGTGCGTGCATATGTGTGTGTATGTGCATGTGTAATGTGGAACTCCTGGGGTTGAAGGGTGGGGAGACCAGGGCCTGGCTGGCTGGCGGCCGGAGTGGGGGCCCCGCCGTACGTACACGCGTTGGGAGAGCCGTGGGGCAGCGGCAGGTAGGAGCCGGCCCGCCAGGACCGCGTGCGGAAGTTCTTGCGGCACTTGCCGCAGTCGGGGCCCGTGGTGTTGTGCTCGCACTCGCACTGCAGGCTGCCCTCGCGCACGGAGCACAGGTTGGCGTGCAGGTTACACTTGCACCTGCAGGGACACAGGATAGTCAGTGAGCTCCCGAGGGGCGGGCCTGGGAGGTGGGAGGCTGCAAGGGATCCAGAGGCCGCCAGGCCCACCCGCCAGGATTCTCCCTCAGGGCAGTCACTCCCGGCTCCCCCTCCCGTCAGGCCTCCCGGGACTCAGCCTGTGGGTCTACCTCTGGTCTTTGCTACATTTTGCAAAGTAACTTTCGTTAGACAAAGTCAGACAGCTTCTGACCCCCTTGGCTCTAGACGAGGGAGGTCGCCAGGTAGCGAGACACAGCCCCTGAGCTCATGTTCACTTTCCCTCGCAGAAGAGGGCCCCTCAGGCCCGGGGAGGGCTCCCTGGAAACCATGACCCACACCATCCGCTGCTCGTGACTCTCGGGCCCAGGCCCACGGCCGGACCCGGCTCCCCCAGCCCAGACACTGGCCGTCATGGCTCTACTCCCACACGGCGGGAATAAGACGCCCGTGGAAAAGCCGGGCCGGTTCCCTGAGTTCCAATCCACAACCACATGCACAGGGCGGGGCCACAGGAGGTTCAGAGAGTTTATTCTTGCTTTATCATTAATTATTGCATTATTTTCCATACCAACAACTGTGAACCTACTTTTGCCCGCACTGTTATCCTGTGGGCGTCGGAAAAGCATGGGGGGTGGGCAGGCACCCGTTGGCACGGGGGGCCCGTCCTCCTGGGGACCCCAGAGACGACCCTGCGCTCAAGCCTGCATGCCGACATACTCGATGCTCTCCTGAGGCCCCTCACCCTGCCCCGCAGCCACCGACAGGGTGCACGGCGGATGAAAGGCTCTGACAAGGCCTGCGGGAACGAAGCCTGTCTGACTTTGTCTAATGAGAGTTACTTTGCAAAATGTATTTGGCCTCGGAAGGTTTCAGGTGTGTGTTTTTCTCTCAGTTCCTATTTAATATCCCACTGAGCCGGCTGGAGAGGCACCAGCTGTGCGGAGCCAGGAATGTCCTGCGCCTCTGGCCCGAGGACGAGGTATTTTTAGATGCCAGCGGCACACAGAGAGATTGCCATCTCCACGTTGGGGGGTGCCGGTGACCTTGGCTGGTTAAAATGCGCAGAAGGGCCGTGGAACCCGAGAAGCACATTGTGAGGACGGCGGCGGGAGTCCCAGGGTCAGGCCCACGGGCCCTGCGGCACGAGTGCGAGTTCGAGTGCAGGGGAGCCGCCCAAGGTCACGGGGTTGGTCACTCCTGACCCAGACCCAGGTGTCCCCCTGTCTTCCCCCCGCCCCCGCATGCTGGCCAGCCCCTCCCCCGGCCCCTCTCCCAGAGGGAGTCCAGCTGCCCCACTCCCACCCCCACCCCCAGCGGTGCCTTATGTGGGTTCCACCTGGGTGATGAAGACCAGGGGAGGGGCGCTGAGGCAAACCCTCCCAGGCCTGCCGCCCACGGTCCTGCTTCCCGATCCAGTGGCCGGCCTCGGCCTCGGACCTCACAGCCCCAGCTCTGCCCCGTTCAGGCCTGGGGGGTGGTCCGGACTCCCGGCTGCACCTCCAGCCCAGACCTTTCCCTCATCCGTGCATCCATGGGATCCGTTTCCCCAGGAACTGCTTCCTGAATCTGACCCTCGAGAGCTGTCAGTCTCACCAGAAACCGGCACCTGAGTCCTGACCCCGCGACTCAGCACTTTGGGCTCATCCATCAGGAGCACCTTTAACATGAGCAGAGGGGATGCGAGGCCGGCCAGCCCAGGGCTGCCACCCGCCAGCAGCCTCCGGGACCTGCTGTCCCCCCCCCCTCCCCATCTCAGAATCCCATGCCTTTCACTCGAGATGGTAACAGTCGGGGGGGCGGGGGGAGAGGTGAGAGAGAGGTGGATGCTGAGCCAGCAGCCAGGCTTGCCAGGCCCCGCTGCAGACGTGCTGGGTGACTTGAGCAAGTCCCTTCCCTGGGCCTCAGACCTTCCCATCGCAAACCGGAAGGTGGAACTGTGCCTCAGACCTTCACCTCGGCCACTTGCTTGTTTGTCGTGCCCAGCACGCTGCCTGGCGCACAGCGGGCTCTCGGCGTCTACATGACCCGTCTTAGAGTCACTTCTCCTGTCACTATAGTTGCCAGATTCAGCAAATGAGAATATAGGGCCCTGGCCAGGTAGCTCAGTGGGTTAGAGCATCGTCTGGATGCATCAAGGTTAGGGGTTCAATCCCCCGTCAGGGCACGTACAAGAATCAGCCAATGAATGCATACATATGTGGAACAACAAGTTGATGTCTCTCTTTCCTTCTCTCTCTTTCAATAAAAAATAAAGATATAGAATGCCTGGCTAAATGTGAATTCCAGGCAAGCGACCGATAAGGTTTTTAATGTAAGCACATCCCATGAGACACACTTATACTAAAAAATTAGCTCTTTATCTAAAATTCAACATCAGCCCTGACCGGTTCGGCTCAGTAGATAGAGCATCAGCCTGTGGACTCAAGGGTCCCAGGTTCGATTCCGGTCAAGGGCATGTACCTTGGTTGCGGGCACATCCCCAGTGGGGAGTGTGCAGGAAGCAGCTGATTGATGTCTCTCTCTCATCAATGTTTCTAACTCTATCCCTCTCCCTTCCTCTCTGTAAAAATTAATAAAAATAAATCAATAAATAAGATACAACATCACATGCATCCTGCATGTTACCTGGCAGCCATCCCTGCTCACCCACTGGCTGAGTGATGGCCTCAGGTCCGACCCCTGACCTCTCGCGAGGCCTGGCATGGGGGGCACCCACTCCCCACAGGGAGCTGGCCCTGCTGCCCACCACCAGATGGCCACAGCCACTGGCCCGGTAAGCAGTTCCTTTCCCTGGAACCGATGAGCCCCTAACAAGCCCCAGGAGACCACAGTTTGGAGGCAGCGCCAGGCTCGCCCCTGGGGGAAGGCAGTCCCAGACGCCCCAAGTTCACGGAAACTCGCTCTGCCTCTGCCCGGGGGCAACTGGCATGAGAACCCCACCCATCCTGTCCGTCTGAGGCCAGTGGGTGGTCGTCAGGACGGCGGAGGCACCAGCAGGTGCGGGCGGGTGTGTGCCAGGCCTGCGGGGAGGGGCAGGCGGTGCCCGGGAACTGACGGCAGGAGTGCCATCTGGACACGGGCCTGGCACCACTGCTCCGTGAGAATCGTGAGCCGGGCCCTCCCCCCTCGCGGTGAGGGGCGGGCGTTTGGAGAGCCGCCCGGAGCGGAGGGGGAGGGATGTAGGTCAGCTCGGGCCTGGAGAGATGATGTCATCGCCTCCTCGGGGAACCAACGAAGCGGGAGTTTGGGGGAGCGGGAGATGGTGCCAGAGCCGGGCAGGGAGAGGGGGCCGGGGCCGACACCCCTCAGAAGGCCACCCCACCACGATTTCAGGGCACTGACAGCGAGCCTCGGACATGGGGTGCACGTGTGGGCCCAGGGAGCACCCCGGACCTGGGGGCTCGTGGCCATCGCTCAGCTCTGCCCAGTGACTTCCAGCTCCTCTGGTGGGGCTGCGGGGTTGGGGGAAGAGGCACAGGGGTGACGGAGAACTTGAGCCCTCCAGGCCTGAGACCCCGACAGGGGGCGGCGGGCGCTGAGTGCAGGTGCGGGGCGTGGGCCTGGGGGCCGCAGGCACCTGGCGTGGCCTGCTTCCCTGGTAATGTGGATAAATGCGGCTGGCGCTCCTCCGGGAATGCAATTAGGGCGGCAATTGAGTTCATTGGCCAAATCAAATTCGGGCGGCTGTGCGAAGTCCTCTTCTATTAAGTGCTTTAACATACATCACCCCTCCGGTCTGTTCCTAATCCCATTACCCGCTGCACAGCCCGAGGCTTCCCAGGGAGCAGGACAGGGGCTGATGGAGGGGGCTGGTGGCTCCCGGGGCATGGCCTGGGGGCGACCAGGTTGACTGAAGCAAAACCACTTCTCCCCTGTGGAAGGTCCCCCCTCCTCCCGCTCTGCCCAGGGAAGGGCCAGGCCCAGGTGCTGGCCCAGGTGCTGGCCCGGTGCTGGCCCAGGTGCTGGCCCGGGTGCTGGCCCAGGTGCTGGCCCGGGTGCTGGCCCAGGTGCTGGCCCGGGTGCTGGCCCGGGTGCTGGCCCGGGTACTGGCCCAGGTGCTGGCCCAGGTGCTGGCCCAGGTGTTGGCCAGGGAAGCGTGCGCGGCCGCTGGGCGTGCTGGGGCAGCTCTGGGCGTGGTGCTAGCGAGCCCGCCCGCTTCCCCCTCGCAGCGCCTGCCTGTGTCCCGGGCCCTTTCTTCTCTGGAAGCGTCACTGACGGTGAGTGAGGCTCCTTTGTTCACGTGTGTAAGTTCATTTGTTCATGAATGAGTGAGTAAGAGTCCGCAGGGCACCACCTGCCCAGGTTCTGGGCGTGGCCTGGCAGGTGCTAGAGCCTGAGGCAGGCCAGTGCTCTCAGGGCTCAGCCAGGGAGGGGCCCTGTGTGTGAGAGTGAGTGTGTGTGAGAGTGAGTGTGTCTGTGTAGCTGGGACAGTGCTGCTTTCCTTGAGGGGAGGGAGGATGGTCCCCGAGCCTGCAGCCTCCGGAGCGCAGGGAGCTGCTGTCTGGGCCAAGCCTTGGAGGGCGAGGAGTTTGCCAGGCGGGGGGGCTGGGCTCCAGGCAGAAGCACAGCCCAGAGGCGGGTCCCTGGGACCCAAAACCAGGGGGCTGGTCCGAGAGGCCTCAGAGGTGGGGGCGGCTGGCGTCCATGTGGGGAAAGCCGGCGTAGCCTTGATTCCTGAGTCCATGGGAAGCCGCTGAAGGCCCGTGCGGTAAAGTGACATGACTGGGTTTGTGTTGGGAGAAAAGTCCTCCGTGCGGAAGGTGCAAGGTGGGGGGGCGCTGGCCGTGTCCCCAGCAAACTCCTGATGCCCGTGCGCCTCCTGCGGTGGGGTGGGGTGGGTGGTGATGGGGTCCGTGTTAGAACCTGCTCGGCTGAGAGATGGGTGAGAGGGACAGAAGGAGCCAGAGGGGGGCGTTCCCCGAGGGTCTCGGGCCCCAGGCCCTGAATGGGCAGCTCCAACGGGGAGAAGCTGGCCTGGGCTCCTGCGGAGGCTCAGCTCACCTGTGGGTGCAGCGTGGCCTAGTGTGTGCCGTGGGTGCGTGGGGTGGGCACTGTGTGGCCTGCAGGGGGCGCATCTGAGGCAGCACCTGTGGGTCTAAAACGGGCTCCCTCTGTGGAGGGGAGAAAGGGTCGGATGAGAGCAAGGCCTGAGGGGTCATCTGGGTTGGGCCTGCCTCCTGCCCTGTCTGTCCTGCCCCGATGATAGCGAATGAGGTCCTGCAGGTCCCTGAGCTGGAGGCGGGGCCCGCAGCCTGTCCCAGGCCCAGCAGCTGGAGGCCCAGCCCGGATCCTCCTGCTCACCCGGGGGCGCTGGGCTGGGCGCCTCCACGCCCTGGTCTGCGTGGGCAGCGACCCGCTGCCGAAGCCGTGCCGGCTCCATCCAATAGTCAAGTGAGCTTCTGTCTCCTGCTCACCCGCTGGCTGATGGAGGGGCGGCAGGGGGGAGAGCAGGGATTCGATTGGCTGGAGAGGCTCCCCCCGAGGGTGAGGCACCCGGGAATGGGGTTGTGTTCCGGGGACTCGGGGCTGACTTCTCAGGATCACAGGAGCCCGGGGCAGGGAGACTGAGGCTGGGACCCACAGGCCTTGCTCAGGGCCGTAAACTGGCAAATGAAAGAATCTGAATTCAAACGCAGCTTCTCTTTGACACCAACACCTGGGGCTGTCGAAGCGTTACCAAGAGGCCTCGGAGCCAGGACTGGCGAGGGGTCCCTAGAAGTGTGAGAATCGGGGATTCTGACCTCAATGGTAACTCGGGCAGCTGCGTGGGGTCTGTGCTCACATGTCGGGTGAGGCGGGGGCTGTGTACACACGTGTACACACACACACACACACACAGGCCCCAGCCAGGTCTCCCCGCCTGCGGTTCCTATTCTCGGCCAGAGTCCCATCATCTCCAGTTACCCGGGGATCGAAAGGAACAGGACCCGGGGATCAATAGGAACAGGACCCGGGGATCAATAGGAACAGGACGCTTAGGGAAGAGGAGGAGAAGGCTGGGTAGGGGGAGGGTCAGGGGAGAAGAGAACAGGCTGTGTCCTCGGCCCAGGGACTCGGGTGAGCAGCCCGGCCGCCGCAGAATCTGGGGGAGCCGAGGGCTCAGACAACCCAGGGGCATGGGCCAGCAGTGCCCGTCCACCTGGGACCTGGCAGGTCTCCTCTCTCCAAGCACTTAGCCTCCTCCTGGGTGGAAGGGGGTGAGGATGCAACACCTGGCACCCGCACCCACGCATCCTAACGCGGTATTCCCTGTTCCCTTAATCGGCGCTGGTTATTGTTGTACAGGGCCTCTCCCCCTCCCCCCTCCGACTCCCCCAAACACCACCCTGCCCGCTTGCATGCCTCCAGGACGGGGAGCTCACTCCCTTCTCCCTGGCTGGCAAAGGCCCAGCTGGACTGGCTCCCTGGACCCTCCAAGTGTTTCCTGGGCAGAGAAGTTGCCCCTGGGAAGGGCCTGGTGGTTAGGGCCGGGCGGCCAACGCCCCTCCCTCCATCCCAGCCCGGAGTTGGCAGACCTGCCGAGGCTGTTTGCATATGCCTGCTTCTCTGCCTGGTGAAATTCCCGAGGAGCCCAGAACAGGTTCAGCCTGAGCCCCGGGGCCCCCAGGTGCCTGCTCACCCCATCCTGCGCACTGGGCCTGCCGGCTCCCCGGCCCAGGGGGCTCTCCCACCAGGAATTTGATAAGGAAACGTAGAGACAGTCACAGCCCTTTGCCAACCATCTAATCAGACCTAATTAATCGATAAGCCCCGTGGCCGCTTCCTTGCCAACCAGCCGCCGGAGTGCTCGCTGCATCTGTGAATTGACAGCCGTCCTTTCGCCATCCCTTGCACCGCTGCTCGCCGCCCGCGCAGGCTGGGTGCCCAGGGGAGCTGGGAGCTGCTGGGCAGACCGGCCACCTTGCCAGGGAGACGCGGGCTCCAGGCAGCCCTGGCCCTCACGTCACAGATGGGAAACTGAGGCCCAGAGAGGGGCACAGCGGGGCTGGAACCCAGCGCATAGCCCGGTGCCCGGGCGCCGGTGGGTGCTCTTCACCTGGATGGGGCTGAAGACCCGAGGCCCTTTCCCGCCCTCTGCCCTCCGCCCTCCTGGGTACGCTCTGCCCCACGTGCCCACCTCGGAGTCCCTCCCAGGAGACAGCCTCCCCACAGGAGCATAGGGCACTGCGGGCCCTGACTGCCCCATCCAGCCGGGACCCGTCTGAGCCACCTCATGAAGGGCAGGTGCCCCTTGATCAGACTCCTGAAGGTGAGGGTCCCGCCCAGCCCAGCGGCTCAGGGGTTGAGCATCAACCTATGAACCAGGTCAGGGTTTGATTCCCGGTCAGGGCACATGCCCGGGTTGCGGGCTCGATCCCCAGTGTGAAGTGTGCAGGAGGCAGCCGATCCATGATTCTCATCATGGATGTTTCTCTCTCTCTCTCTCCCTCCCCCTTCCTCTCTGAAATCAATAAAAACATTAAAAACAAAAAGATGAGGATCCCCCTGTAGCAGCCCAAAGCGAGTCAGAGAAGGGGCTGAAGCCCCCAGAAGGTGTGGGTTTCTGGTTCTCACCTCGGAGCTGCTAAGCCTGGCGGGACTGTGGGCGGAAGGAGGGTCTTGAGCCAACACCCACTGCACCCCAAGGGCAGGCAGAGGCCACCGAACTGACCAGAGTCCCGACCCCGGGCACACATTCCAACAACGGACGCAGGAGCTCGATCCCTAACCCCCGGCGGCCACAGCAGTGGCCACAGATCAGGTTTCCAGAATATTCCTGACGTAAAGTATCTGCCCCCCGTGAGGGAGGGTGAGAGTCCAGGTGGGAGCCGCAGGCCTCTGCGTGTGCACCTGCCTCCCGCTCACCCACTGGCCACCCTGCCTCGCGAGTGGGTGCTGCCTCGGCCCACCTGGAACCCACACGCAGAGTCCACGTGAAATGAAACGCAAGCAGCTGACAACCGAGGCCCAGCAGCCTCTGCCCGCCCCGCCCCGCCGCGACCACGGAAGCCGCCGGCCTCTTCCCCGCACCCACGAGGCCTTCCCGAGCCTCCACAGCCACTCGCCCGGGTCCGCTCAGGAGGCCGAGGGACCCACACGGCACCGTGTGCACTTTACAAAGATGGGGTTAACCTGCTCCCCCCGCGGAGACTGCCTGCCCATCAGCAGCAGCTGCCCACGGGCGTGCTGTCCCCGCACCCGCTCCCGCCTCATCACCCGGCACCCTGGGCCTCAATCGGGCTTCCTGCGCCGCCCCAGCTCTCCGGCCGTTGCTTTGACTTCCGTTTATTTTATCCAACAAACACAATTTAAAAAGCTGAGCAGGATGTTTCCTCAGCTTTAACTCGTGTAACTCTCACCCCGATCCGAGGAGAGAAGCGTGATCATGGTCCCGTTCTGCGGGTGGGGAAACTGAGGCACAGAGAGGTTTTGCCCTCATAGCCGGGGGCAGCAGGCTGGGGTCCAACCCAGGCTGCCGGCGAGCCACCAGGGTCCATGCTCCTACCCTGGGTTCCCAGACTGGGTGCGCCCCGAACGCAGGGGCTCAGGGGAGCAAGACGGCTGCACCCCCGGGTTCAGATGCAGCAGGTGGGGCCCGGGGGGCCCGTCTCTAGCAAGTTTCCCAGTGATGCTGCCCCTGCGGCCCGGGAGCTGCATTCGCTGAGAGAAGCCTGGCACTGCCCCCACTGCCCCTGCACCCCTTCCCCAGCACTGCCTCCACTGCCCCTGCACCCCTCCCCCTGGCACTGCACCCGCTGCCCCTGCACCCCTCCCCCTGGCACTGCACCCGCTGCCCCTGCACCCCTCCCCCTGGCACTGCACCCGCTGCCCCTGCACCCCTCGCCCTGGCACTGCCTCCACTGCCCCTGCACCCCTCCCCCTGGCACTGCTCCTGCACCCCTCCCCCTGGCACTGCCAGCTCCTCTCAGCCTCTCCAGACTCCCAGGTCCGTGGGCAGCGGCAGCCTGGGCTCAACGGAGGGCGCTTATCTCCCACCACCCACCACCCTCCATGGAGGGAGCCAGGGCGGGACCATCCCGGCACCAGGTGGCACCCCGGGAACCAGGCCACGCCCTGGGGACCAAGGAGCATCCCAGCGCCCTCCCGCGGGTCTCACCTGCCGACGACCTCGACATTGGAGATGGCGTAGAAGTACTTGTAGAGGTTCTCGCGCTGCACGTAGGTGCCGCCCAGCGCCGGGCGCAGCAGCCGCATGCGCAGGTCGGTGAGGGTGAAGAAGTCCTTGAGGCCCTTGGCGCTCTCCAGCCGCGCGTAGAGGTTGTCCATGTTGCGCAGGTCGGGGCCGGCGAAGATGGCGAAGCGGTCCCGCACCTCGAAGCGCACGTGCTTCTCCTTCTGGGCGCCGGCCCAGCGCGAGTACTCCTCCGTGCACAGCACGCGGTGCGCGCCCGAGGCCGCCAGGTCGCGGGCCCGGCGGGCGGGCATGCCGAAGGCCTCCATGCAGTCCTCCGCGTAGAACTGCCAGGGCTGCCAGGAGCGCCCGTTGTCCAGGGACTTCTCCAGGACCATGACGGTGGGCCGGCCGTACTCGAAGGTCACCACCACGTCGTCCGTCAGCTCCACGCTCTTGTTCCAGGACAGCGTGATGTTGGCCTCCAGCGGGCTGGGGTAGCGGCTCCACGTGACGCTCTGCCAGTACGTGGCCAGCCCCTCGTCCTCCCGGTCCAACATGAGCCGCGGCGGGTGGGCCAGGTCCGGGTTGGAGGCGTCACACTCGTTGCTGCACAGGTAGGGGTTCTCCTGCGGGGAGAGGGGGGGCACGGGTGGGCGCTGCTGCCTGCAGGGCCTGGGGCGCCTCTGCCCAGCCCGGCCCCCGCCGCCCGCCCAGGCATCTGCCAGAGGTCACAGGGCCCGTGTCCTGTCCCGCGTCCAGGCACCAGGCAGCAGCTCCTGGGCAGGTCCATCCCTCCCTGTCTGCCTCTTTAAACGGCTCCTGCACCGAGGTGTCTTCCTGACCCTTACACTGACCATCGTGGCTGCAGCAGGAGCAGGGATGGGGGAGGCCACTCACCACAAACGCCCACGATCTCACGTTCAAATTCAACTCCCTTCCCTCCGATTTGCATCCCACCTCCCACCTCCAGCCTGGCCTCAGGAGGGGGTGGCCCTGCCCAGGCCCTGCCGGGGGAGCGGGAGCCACACCCGCCTGTTGGCGCAGAGCGTGGCGGTCACGCCTGTCCCTGGCACAGCCCGTGTGTCCGCTTCATGTGGAACCTGGGCAGCTGGGGGTGCTGAGTGTTTGGGGTTCCTCTCAAGGACGTGCATCTTTGTGGCAAGTCAGTTCTAGGTCCTTGGCACATGCCAGGCAGGCCCAGTGGGGGGCGCTGGTGAGCAAGGTAGGGCACGGCCCCTCTGGCTTACAGTCCTCCCTCCCACCTGGGGGGAGGGGGGGCAGCGCTGGCAGCCTGCTCCCCGCCCAGCGGGGCTCCCCTCCATGGCAGCTCAGATCCATCCCCGCGTCTGGCCGGCCTTGAGCGCACGCAGAGCCCGAAATGTCGCCAGCACAGGCTGCCCAGGGGCGGCGGGGCGAGCCGGTGGGGCACGGGCGAGTTTGAGGGCAGTGAGCGACTGGATGACCTGTCACGGTGGGTCCAGGACATCGGGCATCTGTCACGCCCACACCTGCGGGACCCTGTTGTGAAGTGTGGACTTCAGTTATAGGCGCGCACTGTTGGTTCATCAGGGTGACAAATGCGCCCGCTCATGCCAGGTGTGCGGGCCCCGTGGGCGGGAAGCGGCATCCGAGGAGCCCTCTGCTCTCCGCCATCCACCTAAACAGCTCTAAACGCCAAAGCCTATCCATTAAAAACCAAGCCTGTCACCGAGGCCCGCACAGCGCCCGGACCCCTCGCGGCTTTTTTGATGAATATTTCAGGTCTTCGTTTGCGCGGTGACAAACGGCTTGGATCTGAGATAAAGCTGCTCACTCTAAAGGGAGCCATCCAGCCCGGACGGGGGGGCGGGGCGCCATCGCCCGGGGGCTGAGCGCTCCCCCACCACAGCCTCAGGACCTCACCTGGGACCCGTCAAGGCGGGGGCTGGCCGGCCTGGGTTCACCGAGGCAGCTCCCACAAAGCGCGCTGACCAACATAGCTCTGTCCTTGGTCCCCCCCGGGCTGCGCTGTCCACCCCACGGGCCAGCCCTGGGATTCACGGGACCCACAGACCTCGGTGCTGAAGGGATTCACTCCTGAGTCCAACCCCTCAGTGAGCACAGGGGAACCTGAGGCCCCGGGCAGGGGGGCTGGCCCCAGCCTCCTGTGCGTGGGCTGTTTTCTGAGGATATGCTGGCTCCTGTCCTGGACAATCTCAGGGTGTCCCGACACGCTGGGGACCTCCCCTGGAGCAGGAGCTCCCTCAGGCTCCAGCTGTGGGCCCTGAGGCGTCACCTTGAATGGGGGGGGGGGGCGGAGCGAGAGGCCCCAGAGGGATGCTCCGTGGCCTGCAGAGACAAGGCTTCCGCTGGGCCAGGGGAGGCAGGCCTGCTGTAGGGAGACAGCCCCCTCCCCGGGCGCATGGCCAGTCCACTGTGGGCTGAGCCCAGAGGCAGACCAGGCTCCGCTGTGCCGTTCAGGGCAGAGACACAGAGCAGCTGCCCAGAGTTCATGCCCGGACATCAGGGGCCAAGGACACAGTTTGCAACCAAGGCAGCATCCCCCCTCCCCTCCCCGCAGCCAGCAACTGTCTTCTTCCCTCGGCACCAGGCCATCTTCTTCCACTGCCCTGGCACCTCGTTAGGGGCTAGTGGCCCCTCACATCCACATGCCCAGCTCCTCAGCTCCTCCGTGGGGCCGTGTTTGGAGACGGGCCTTTAAGGAGGGGAGGTGGTTAGGGTGGCCCAGTCAGGCTGGGTCCTCATATAGGGGAGCTGTGGACAGGGACACAGAGGAGAGGCCACGTGAAGAGGCGGCGGAGGGAGCTCCGTCAGCCTCAAGCCGAGAAGGGCGGCCTCAGGAGAAACCAACCCTCGGTCTTCCAGGGTCAAACCAACCTTGACCTTGGGCTTGAAGCCCCAGAGCCTGAGAAAGTGAATCTGTTGTTCGAGCCCCCAGGCCCCAGCAAGCAAAGACACACCTGTCCCAGGTGAGCCAGAGGTCAGGGCGGGAGGAACGGCTCGGAGCGGCGCGGCTGAGTCGTGAGTTCCCGATAATTTCCCTGGAAGCTCCCTGGGCCCCTCCCGAGCACACCACACCGTCACCAGAGCCGTCCGCCCGGCGCCTTTCCTTGTCCGCCTGGGAAGCTCTTGTCAGCACAGCACAGGAGGCGTGCCTCCTCCCTGGCGGCTTTGTCCCCTCTCACCTCTGAGCTTGTGCTCCCACGGCCACTCTCCCTCCTCCCGGTTCTCAGGAGATTCCCCCAGGAAGCCCTCCTTGCTGACGCACTCTCTAAAGCCAGCTCCCTCCTCCTCCATCGTGAGGTTGTGAGGGTGCTCACCTGGGCCGGGGGAGTGGCCTGGACCTCAGCTACTGCTCACTGCATTACAGTTATTACCAGAGGCCAATGCACAAAATTAGTCCCTCAGCCCGGCCTGCACCCTCTCACAATCGGGGACCTCTCACTCCTAACCGCCTGCCTGCTCGCTCCTTACCGCTTGGCTTGGCTCTCGGCTCCTTAGCGCTGCCGCAGAGGTGGGAGAGGCTCCCGCCAGCTCTGCTGCGCTCACCAGCCTGAGCCCGGCTTCTGGCTGAGTGGTGCTCCCGCTGTGGGAGTGCACCGACTGCCAGGGGACAGCTCCAGCGTTGAGTGTCTGCCCCCTGGTGGTCAGTGCGCATCATAGTGAACAGTCGTTCTGGTCGTTCTGCCGTAACAGTCGCTGGGCTTTTATTATATAGGTTGTTGTTATATGACTTAGTTGTTAATATAATTAGATTCATATTCATAAACCTCATATTGAATGTTGATATGATTCTTGCCAGCCAGCTCTGGGAGTCCCCACACCTCCTCTATTTACCTTGGTCCTTCTTTGTCCCCTGCCTTCCCTCCCCTCACCCAGCCCAGCCTCCCGGTGGTCCCCCCAGGGGGGACATGGGGTCCCTCTCAGACCCCAGCCTCCCAGGCCTGTCTGTCACCAAGAAGACTGACACAGCCGGTCCTGGCAGAGGACAGGGGCTCGACCCGGCTGCCGGCCTCGCTGCCCTAACCCGCGGGGTCTGCTGGCCCCCCGCCCGGTCCCAGCCCGGGAAGCAGATGGTCAGAAACTAATGAATCAGCCCGTCTCCGCCCGCGCCGGCTGCGGAGCGGCTTCGCCAGCAGCGAGCACAACAAATAAATCCCAAGCCTCGCCAGCGCCACTCTCCCTCCTGCTGTTTCCTCCTTCCTCCACCCTCCAGCTCCGAGATCGGGATTCCACTTAACCATTGAGGCGCGGAGCGTGGCGCCGGCTGAAGGGCTGGCAGTGCTGAGCCAGAGGACGGAGGACGCTGGGGGCAGCCGGGGTTGGCCACGGGGCTACCCCCACCTGCCTCCAGCTGACGGCTGCTGACAGCGCCTCGAGGGGCCAGGCTGGAGGCCAGCGTCTCCACTTGCCTGTGAGGCCAGATTTCATAAGGAAGCAACCAGTCCAAAGAAGTGGCCCAACACGGGGAGAAGGTTCCGGAAGCTCGAGGCACACCTCTTGCCTTTCAGAAGGGCCCCAGAGCTGACCTTTGATACCGAAGCAGCGACTGTTTCTTTAGACCGTTCACGATCCTATAAAAACACATGTCCTGCCCCCATGGAGAGCCCTGGAACCTTCTCCAGGAAAACGTAACGCCACGCGTTCCAGGCCCGTGCAGGGCCCCTGCGCCCGCCTCCCAGTCGGAGCCGGAGCAGGTAGGAAACCGGTTTGGATCGAAAGCCCTGGGCTCGTTCTCAGCACCGGCCCTGGAAGCTGTGTGGCGTTGGGAACGTGTCTCAGCCTCTCTGAGTCTCACTCGCTCGGCCAATACCTTGCGAGACGATGTGTCTGAAGTGCCTGGAAAACCCCCGGTGGGAGCGATGATTATTTCACAGCAGCTTCGCACTTGGGCTGCTGGCTGGGAAGGACACAGTGACGATGGCATCACTGAGGGCAACCATGTGCCAGGGCCGCCGCGCCCCTCAGGTCCCTCCTGCCTCCTCCCGGCAGCCCCAGGCGCCCACCGAGAGCCCCTTCCCTGGGGGGAGGCTGGGCAGAGCCGGCCCCTCGCCTCCTCAACCGAGCCCCTCCCATCTGTGCTCACCCTCTCGGGTCAGCCAGGTGAGCACCCAGCTGGCGGGCGAGGGGCCCTGCAGGGCCTGGGGGCAGGGGCCGCCTGGACAGGAACCCCGAGACGGGGCTGGGAACAAGTCTCCCACGTGGACAAGAAGCAGGAGATGCCTGGCGTGGACTTTAGAGGCTGCCATATTTCCTGCGTGAAGGCTGCAGCTGGGGGGGCGGCCAGGCCGTAAACAGCAGACAAGCGGTGGGCAAAGTAGGTAACTGAGTTGGAAAGCCACTGTCTTCGGGGACAGGACGCCCAGGAGGCCTGGCTGGTTGGCCCTCCTGCCTCCTCCCCGAGGAGCCGGGGAGGGATCACCAGTCCTGTGCCGTCTGGGGAAGAGGAGTAACCCCCGTGCCACGCTCCTGAGGCGCCCGCAGCCCAGGGAACCCTTTGCAGCCCCTCTGCTGGGGCTGGAGGCTTCCTCGGGGGGCGCGTCCTGGGAGGGCACCGAGGGCAGGGACGGGCATGGCCATCGCCCAGATGGGGGCACGGAGGGGGAGGGCTGGGCGCCCCAGCTCC